ACTGGGTCCAAACCAGATCCACTTGGATCCTGTTTTCTATCCTGACTTCATAAATCCTAGCTGGGGTGAGACAGAAGGCCCATCTGGTAGAAGTTCTGCTGAAGGTTTCTTTCTGTTTGGTGAGAGTTTTCCTTCCCACTGTCGCCCGTGGTCTTGTGCTTGTTTAGGATGTAGTGTTACTCTGAAGTGAAGAATTAGGCACTCTGCAGGTTTCACTAAACTAGAGCCGCTTTGACTAAGTGACGTTTTCACGGACTTGCTGCTTTACACTTGGAGATAACTTTTGCAGCACCATTTAAAAAGAGTTTTAGTCTAACCAAAGAATACCTTTTAGGTATTTGAAGTCTCATCTCTGCCCTGCATCTTTAGGATCCACACTTTTATCTGTGTGAGGGGCATAAAGTGTTGTCATGGAAACAGTCGATGTATGAGCACCTCACTTGATTTACTGTCTAACGTCACACGAACAACAAACACCGGCTCTCTCCATCACGTTCAAGGGTACGTCTGTGAGATGATCAATGCCTGAATGATGGAAAGAGTGATAGTTGTTGCTATAAATTATTACTACACATGTCCTGATGCTTACAAAGATCTAAACCAACGGGACAAGATCAAGAATATGTTGGACATTTAGGAGATTCTGATTGTATTTAGTCATCATGATTACTGCAAATCGAGTCTGAATGACAACATGACCAACACAGAGGATGAGCTAATGATCACTCATCACCACTCCAAATAGCTGCGTCAGAAGCATACAGTACAATAACACAGATCAGCTTTAATGAACCTATGAGGGTGGAGCAGAACAGCCCCATCTCATCACTTCCTGTTCTATAACTTTCTTCCATTGTCCCCCTGCAGCGTGGCACAATGTGTCCTCGGCACAACTCCCTTCCTGTACTCGGGACCACGTGCTGAATCCTGTCTCCGTTTTCCCTGTCTGCAGCACTGGTGTGACTGGGATTTGGCTAGAAGTGCATCCCATTGAGTCATGAGTTCACATGGGCAGGGACAGATGGGATGCTGGAGGCCCCTCCCCCCAAAAGAAAAAAACAGAAGTGATGTCATTCCTGCATCACCAAGAATTTTACCCACTTAGGTGTGTGCTTGTGTTTTGTATAGAAAAATTATATTTTGGTCTCTTTAAAGATTGTATTCTATAAATAGGTGGAACAGGGCTTTCGTTTATGATTGATGAGCTAACAGCTAGCCTGAGTGCAGCCAAGACCAAATTACAGACAGCCATATTCAAACAGTTCCATTTGCCCAAATTTTCTAATGGTTTTTGTTTGTTTGTTTGTTTGTTTTTACTTTTACAACATCCATGATTTCACATTACAGCATCCCCAGGAATCATATGACTATTTAAAAGAGCAATTTTGGTGCATTCAGAGGTCTGTTGGAAATTTCCAGATATTTATGTTGAAATAATCATGTAACATGTCTGAATGCATTATGGAGGTTATACACAGTCACATCAACTGAATATTAAGATGGATTCTGTTATGTTAGCATTAGCCTTAGCTCATCAGCCCTGCTTGACCTAAGCTCAGTATGGAGGGGGCGGCGTCGACCACTGGACTGGAGGGGGGAGACGTCGGCCACTGGACTGGAGGGGGAGATGTCGGCCACTCGACTGGAGGGGGAGACGTCGGCCTCTGGACTGGAAGGGGAGACGTCGGCCACTGGACTGGAGGGGGAGACGTCGGCCTCTGGACTGGAGGGGGAGACGTCGGACTGGAGGGGACGTCGACCCCTGGACTGGAGGGGACGTCGACCTCTGGACTGGAGGGGGCGTCGACCTCTGGACTGGAGGGGGCGCCGACCTCTGGACTGGAGGGGGCGCCGACCTCTGGACTGGAAGGGGTGTCGACCTCTGGACTGGAAGGGGCGGCCTCTGGACTGAGGTGGCGGCAGCGGCCACTGGACTGGAGGCAGCAGCGGCGGCCACTCGACTGGAGGCGTCGTCGTCGATCACTGGACTGGAGGCGGCGACCACTGGACTGGAGGCGGTGGCGTCGACCACTGGACTGGAGGCGGCGGCGTCGACCACTGGACTGGAGGCGGCGGCATCGACCACTGGACTGGAGGCGGCGGCATCGACCACTGGACTGGAGGGGGCGGCATCGACCACTGGACTGGAGGGGGCGGCGTCGACCACTGGGCTGGAGGGGGAGACTTCAGCCACTGGACTGGAGGGGGAGACGTCGGCCACTGGACTGGAGGGGGAGACGTCGGCCACTGGACTGGAAGGGGAGACGTCGGCCACTGGACTGGAGGGGGAGACGTCGGCCACTGGACTGGAGGGGGAGACGTCGGCCACTGGACTGGAGGGGGAGACGTCGGCCACTGGACTGGAGGGGGAGACGTCGGCCACTGGACTGGAGGGGGAGATGTCGGCCTTAGGATCTGGAGGGGGAGACGTCGGACTGGAGGGGACGTCGACCTCTGGACTGGAGGGGACGTCGACCTCTGGACTGGAGGGCGCGTCGACCTCTGGACTGGAGGGGGCGCCGCCCTCTGGACTGGAAGGGGCGTCGACCTCTGGACTGGAAGGGGCGTCGACCTCTGGACTGGAAGGGGCGTCAACCTCTGGACTGGAAGGAGCGTCGACCTCTGGACTGGAAGGAGCGTCAACCTCTGTCGGCTTCTGGTCCGGAGGCGCCGGCTTCTGGACCACCGATTTCTGGACCTGGACCACCGACTTCTGGACCTGGACTGTCGGCTTCTGGTCCGGAGGCGCCAGCTTCTGGTCCGGAGGCGTCGGGTTCTGGACCGCCAACTTCTGGACCTGGACCGCCGACTTCTGGACCAGAACCTTCGACTTCTGAACCGGAACCTTCGACTTCTGGACCAGAACCGGAAACTTCTGGACCGGAACCCGAAACTTCTGGAGTGGAGGTGGAGCCGCTGCAGGAGGGGCTGCCAACTTCTGGAGTGGAGGTGGAGCCGCTGCAGACGGGACCGCTTTCTTGGCTGATGCCGCCGGACTGGGCTCCGACACCTGGAAAGGCCGGCCCGGGGGAAGAGCCTCTTGGGTCACCGCTGGGACTGGAGCTGACTGAACTGGTGGCACCAGTAACTGGGAGAGCAGTGAGGATAGATTGTCCAGCTGGAGCTCCTGGAGACTGAGGCTCTGATGGAGTTGGGCCAGCTCAGCTCGGAGACCGGCGAGCTCTGCTGGATGGACTGCGGGCTTGGTCCTTTGGCCCTGAGATGAGGGAGCTGCTGACTGGACCGAAACCTTCTCCTGGTGATTCGGGGAGGATAGGGTGTCCAGCTGGAACTCCTGGAGACTGACGAGCTGACGGATCCGGCCAAGGTCCGCCTGGAGACCGGCGAGCTCTGTCAGCTGGGCTGTAGGCGTGGTTCCTCCGCCTGCAGATGACGGAGGCGCTGATTGGACCGGAGACGGGACTGCTGGTCTGACTGGGGGTGGGTCCAAGCTGGCGCGCCGAGCCGGGGCAGCGGCGAGCTCGCAGCTCCGTCGTGGGGCAAGGGGTGACGGTGGAGCCCAGCATCCTTCCCAACACAATGGGCCAACTCCGGGGGAGCACACAGCCAGTCTGTTGCCCACATAGCAGGAGTGGTCCATCTGTGCCTCCCCGTCCAACTCTCCATCCAGCTCCGGGAGGGTGGAGAGGATTGCTGAGGCCCGGGCTCGGCGGCAGCATCCGCGGCGAGGCGATGCCGGAGGAAGAGGAGCCGGCCGGTGGTCCGCGGCGAGAAACTGGATTAGGTACTCCCAAGGGAGAATCTCCCCGCTGGATCCTTCTGTGGGTTGGCTTATTCTGTCAGGCGTGCTGGTGAGTGGAGCAGAGGTGAGGATCCACACGCTGGGGAGGAATCAGGCAGGCAGACAAACCGGGACAGGTAAAGTCTCAGGTAAAATCTCTTAATAAGGAACACGCTGACATGGAAACAATGAGCCAACAAGGGACACGGAACTGAAGGGGTTTAAATACATGAGGGTTGGGAGCTTGGGTGATTGGAAAACGAGAGGCAGGTGGGAGCAATTAACAGAGACACATGACTGAACAGAATGGGGAGACAGGACAGGGTGTGACACAAACCAGCAGCACAACAAATATTTTCAAATAAGACTCACAAACCTGAGTCAACACCAGTATCATCAAAGCTGGGGTTCTGTCATACTTTTTGTCTAAAAAACGTCCTTATGTCCATCTTCACACAAGCGTTTCAGGCAGAGAGTGTAGAAGAAGCCGGCTGCTGAGGGGCTTCTTCTTCAGTGGTGGAGGCTCAGGCAGGCTGTATGCAAACTACAGCCAACTGCTCCATCTCTGATGGACTTTGGTACTGCATGTTACTTCCACGATTTAGATCCGGGGCCTTTCATAAAACATTCGGGGCTTGAGCCCAAGTAGCCGGGCCTAACGCCGCCCCTGCACATCATAAACAAGAAAGCCGAAAATGTCCGTTATGCACAACTGCGGCGACGGTACTCCTGTCTTGGGTCTTATTATGGATCTGATCCATTTATAATGCTGGTTTTGTCCATGTACTAGTGCCCGACGTCTTCATTTAACTTATTCTGCATCCTTTTGGGGATTTTACATGTTTGTTTGTTTTCACGGTTTGTTTACACTCATAAGTCCAGCGTAATCACGTGTGACCCAAGCCTTATAGGTGGCATTGTTTTCTAAAAGAGGCTAAACAGGATTGGAAAATAGCCTTTTTAGCCCCGTTGACTTGCATTCATTTGTTCTTTGTTCCACAGACTCATGGGTGTGACTTTTAGGTTCCCTATTTCTCCAAACAGCAGATGCTCTGGACACCTGATAGTTATTATTTATGACTTGTACACAGAAAACAAAACATAAAATGTTAATTAGGCTGAAATGATGTGAAATAAGCATTTTAAAATATATTTTTCATTCACGTTTTTTGCGTGTGCGCGCATATATGGTGTGTGTGTGTGTGGGGGGGGGGGTTACTGCCAGTGGGGGCGTGGCTTGTTGACTCCGCCCAGGCGGAGCAGATGATGATGGCGCAGAGGCACGGAGCAGCAACAGTCTCAGATCCGGATTATAGCCTCCACGCACCGGGATCTACGTTCGCGTCACTCAGACTCCGGTTTCTGTTTACTGTTATCATTTCTCCTCTGACAACAACGCGGCGGACCACTTCTCCCATCTGTCCGTGAACGCGCCACTGAGTCCAAGAGGCTCCTGAAAACAGAATAGATCTACACCTTCTGCTGGACGGCCAGGGCGCTCCTCGAAATGGATGAAGACAATCACGGTAGGCTGCTGCTGGCTTCCCGTGTGGATGGATGGATGGATGGATGGATGGATGGATGGATGGATTGATGGATGGATGGATGGATGTGCCAGGGTGCGCCGATTATCCGTGGTTTTCTACAGACATAGCCAGAAAAACACCCAGATCGTCTCTGAACCTGAAAAAACAAAACAACAATGTTTCTCTCTCATCATCACAGAGAGATTCTGCTCGTGTTGCAGCTAAAGAATAATCTGTGTATGCTTCACCTTCTCCATCTGTGATGATGTTCCTGGAGCTTTGAAGCTCTCCTATCTCCTGGTTCCACTTGAAGCCTGTAAACCGGTGGAAGTTGATAAGCTATCACAGCAGGCTGGCAGCCTTCAGAGCCCCCTCTGCAGCTTTAGCTCCCAAACATCTACCCAGAAGCTACAGCTATACAAACACTCAGACAGAAGGGAACAGTCTTCAGTATCTTTAGTTTTATCAGCAGCTAGAAAGAAAAACAAGTAGCAGTAACTGCTCATGATCTAATGTTTCGTTACACATGACAAAAAAGGACTTTTTAAGACAAGGATGACTTATTTCTGTAAATGTTTTTTTAAGGATCCTCAAATCTTTAAGAAGTTGTTACAAACTGGAAAAAGTGCAATCTCTGGCTCTTCACACAGCCCGTTACTGTCCACATCAGTTAGAGAACGCTTCACTGAGTTGGGACGGTATGGTTAAGCTGTAATGTTAATGTAAAGTAGAAACGTTTAACTTTTTATCATCTTCGTCAGATTTTATTGGATATTCGTCTAGTTTAGTTTAATGTATGTTTCAAAATAGAATAGAGTCACTAAAATATATTCTATTAAATGGTCAAGTCAACAGCTTTACACTTGGAGATAACTTTTGGCTCATGGCAGTAAAATATGACAGAAATGACAGGAAATATGACAGAATCACATAGCATTGATTTTCTCCATCATTTTTACTGAAACAGGCAATTTTATTTCAGAAATACTTTAGTTTTTGGGAGATGCATGGTGGAGCCGTTGGTAGAGCTGTTGTCCTGCAGCACGAAGGTTCAAATCTGACGGGCAGCCTTTCTGCACGGAGTTAGCATGTTCTCCCTGTGCATGTGTGGGTTTTCTCCGGGTGCTCCGGTTTCCTCCCACAGACCAAAAACATGCATGTGAGGTTACTGGAGACCATAAACTGTCCTTAGGTGTGTGTGTGTGTGTTTGTCTTTCTCTCCCTGTGATGCACTGGAGATCTGTCCAGGGTGTCCCTCGCCTCTCCCCTGTTGACAGCAGCAGTGACCCTAGTGGTTCAGATGATGGATGATTATTATGAGAGATGGAATATTATTTCATATTTCAGGTTTTAAACCGTTAAAAACCACAGAAATGTTCTAAAATATTTAAAAAATATCTCAGTTTTTAATCTTCCTTATGAGCAAAATTTGAGACCGACATTAAATCAGCTGAAATGTTAATCCAAAAGATGTGCTGCTAGGGCATTAATGTTAGCACTGACCAAAGTGCACAGCTTCTAAAAATGATACTGTAACTGTCTGATTATTAATCCTGAGGATGTCCGTCGTGATTCCATACACTCTCCAGATTGTGCAGTTGGATGCTAAAAGTGGATAAGACGCAGCCCTGTGGCCACATGGAGCCCAGATCACTGCTCACATGGTGGCTGTGGCCCAGTGTCAGTTGTATCATGATAGCATCACAGCACACACGTGCAGAGTGTTTCTGAGCTGATCCATCTAACCGACTTGTGTGGCTGCAGAGGAAGTGTAGTGTCAACAGTCTGGTAAGAGCCTGTGTTTAAAGTCAGACGTTTGCACGTTCACTTTTAATAACAAAAACTGCATTCATGCTGTGCTCTTCACGCTTAAGGATGTTTTAGCCTATGGAGAGCCAAACTTTATGAAGTATTGTCTAACCTTCTGCTTCTATGAGGCCAGTTCAGACCAATGACTGGGTCATGTGACAGGAAGTCAGTTATCAACATAGCTTGTTGTAAATGTTATAAGATCTCTCTAGTGCTCCCTCACACTCTCATTGGCTTTCACACATCGGTTTCTCATGCACGCTCTGATATGCCGGCATCACAACATAAGCACTTGGTGCTAAAACTGCCTCTACCGAACACTTCCAGCAGCTCAGGTCAAAGCTTTGTCGAATTACTGAAACTGAGAAAACACTTGAGCTGCTGCAACAGTTTGAGTCTGAAACTTATTGTCTGTTGAGATTATGGAAAATTCTGTGTTTGTATATATGACTAAATGTCAGGGAGAAAGCTTTTGAACAAATAATATATTACCTGTTATAGAACAGCCTCAGTTTAGAGTAATAGTGACTAGTTCTGACCATTTTTGAGCTAATGGCTAATCACAGCAGCTTCAGTTCCAAAGTGGATTTCTGCCTCTAGCTGTAAGAACAGCAATAGCATTTTATGTAATGCTACTTATAATAACAGCAGGCAATGACTTATTAGAATTTTCAGTTTTTTGCTAACAGGTGCTAGTAATGCTAACAAACTACCACAATATAAATAGAATAATTTGCCACCACACAGTAAAGTCATGTTAGCAGAATAAAACTGGAGATAACCACTGAGCAAAAGACTACCAGATGGGATCAGGCTCAGTGTGTCACATCTAAAACAGTCCTGGTGGAAACAATCTTTAAACATGTCGTGTTCGCACAATTTCTGGCTGCACACTTAAATCGTTTAAGCACTAACGTCTTCATTTAGCCTGTATAATCACTGATTCATGGAAACACTTCTTATCCATCAGTTTAGGATGACATAGTTAAATCTTCTAAAGTTCCTGTGTCTCATGCTAAACTGGATAGCTAGCTCTGCTGCAAAGTTTCTGCTACTTTCTAAAGATTCATTTTAACTCAAACCTTTTGTTGTAATCAATGTGATAAGTTTTATTAACCTTGATGCTCTCGCAATTTTTATTCTGACTTTAATTTATCTACAATTGCTTTGGGTTAATTTATTTATTTAAGCCACTGAAACTAGCAGTAGAGCTAGCTGTTTGTAACAGTCCCAGTCAGATTTTAATCACAATTCTACTTGAATAATCATGTAATTTGACTTTTATTGCAGTGTGAACATTTATAACAGGTTAGATATGTTCTAAAATGACAGGAATCGACCTTGAAACTAGCTCCACTGCAACTAGCTGTTTGTTTTGGTCTGTAGTACTAAACTCTCTATTTTATGTCTCTGCTACAGTTATCCCTAAACCAAACGAAGCTTCAGACAGCCACCATCTCTGGGTCTAGGCTGTAGCGTGGGATTCACTAGTACATGTTTCTGGCTCTGCTAATCAGAGTTGGCGCTCCTCTGCTCAGCTTGCATGCAGAGCAGACAGGGCCTGGCCTCCAAATGGCTGGAGTCAGCAACAGGCTTTAAAAGCGTGTGTGTGTGTGTGTGTGTGTGTGTGTGTGTGTGTGTGTGTGTGTGTGTGTTTATAACTTGTGTGTCTATTATTAGTAACATCATATAGCTGGATTGAGAAGTGGGAAAAACTGAAAAAGCAGAAATTAGCTGTAAAGCTGAGAGCTGATTGGATGCTTTAATGTTAGGCTTTCATAGATCGGTTCTCCTCTCTATCTCTTGGACTTTAGTCACTTGTATTTAACCCTCTCAGGCTCAAAATAGGTTTTGATAAAAGGACGAACAACAAAGTCCTTCAGGGGTACTTCTGAGTTTAAAAATGCTCATGAAATACGTATGTGGAGTAACCAGGTAGGTAGGTTTTAACTGTTGCAAATCTGCAACGCCTGCCTCCAGAGGGTTAAGGGTTAGACTAAATAAATACATTTAAAAAACACCCTACGCCTTTGGATAAAGTTTTCCATGGTGTTTTTTTCTGTACAGAATGGTTTGTTTCTTGGTAAATACACACATAACGAGTAAAAATGCTGGTTTTAGCTGAGCTGCGAGACTCTCCTGTCCACATTTCCTGTTTCAGTGTCACATGTTAAATCAGTCAGCAATATTTTTCCTATTTGACTGTGGGAAAAGTTAAATGAGAGGGGGCCTTCCTTCAATTCTTCTGGTTTCTTTGAACCAAACGTCTGAAATAACAAATGGTATCTGACTGGAGCTTAAATGTTTTTCTTGGGGGACATGCTAGCACTGACACACTGCAGTCGGTGCAGGATCACACATTCACAGACACCCTGTGGTTCCTCTGCTCCCTGCAATAAAAGAAACACAGTTCAGGTAATCTGAAATCTTATGATTAACCATAATTGTTGTTACCTTAAATCTGCTTTTATCTTTCAGCTCAGTTCAAAATATAATTGTTTAGAGATACATTGAAAAACTGGATTGTAGATGGAATTTTCAATATTCTATGGAGCTAGGATTGGGACAATATTACATGTAACTTGTAACAATTTTTGTTGTAACTGTAACTTTTGTTTTGTAGCACGTAACGTTCAGTACGTAACATTTTGTATCTTGCAGAAAAAAAATCTGTGTGCAAGTTTGAAATCGAAACTCTCAAAATACATCTCAGTCTACAGTTACATGTTGCAAAATCAGAATTATGTGTTACAAAACAAAAGTTACAGTTACAAAACTTGGTACAAGTTACATGTTGTATTGTCCCAATCCTAGCTTCATAGTATTCAGCAGGATCATTTTAGTCTGTGATCAGCTAATGTGAAAGTTAGAAACCAGAGTTTTTATGCAGTCCATGAATGCACAGTACTCAAGCAACAGTAAAATAATTAAATTAATATAATAATAAAACCTCAGAGTCTTGTTCACGAGTGAGGGAAAACTGAAGCGCGAGATCGATAGGCGGATTGGTGCTGCGTCTGCAGTGATGCCGACGTTGTACCGGTCTGTCATGGTGAAGAGAGAGCTGAGCCAAAAGGCAAAGCTCTCGATTTATCGGTCGATTTACATTCCTACCCTCACCTGTGGTCATGAGCTTTGGGTAGTGACCGAAAGAATGAGATCGCGGATACAAGCAGCTGCAATGAGTTTTC